TTTTGATCTATTTTTTCAAAAGCATAATTTATATTTAATGAATTTGTTTTTTCTAAAATTCAATAAACGAAAAACGAACCACTTCTGCTTGTGATAATGATTTATTTTCTTTGATTACATTTTGTTTTGCTTCTTCTAATTTTCTTCTCGTCGTTGAGCATCTTCAATCTGAAAGAAAAAAATATATGAAAATTGTGTTATTAAGAAATTCTTTTACTATGAATATCTCTAGAAATGTTAGCTTCTTCAATTTATATCAAATTCATATTCATTATCAAAAAGTTTTTTAAATAACATGATTAAACTACTCCGAATAAGATCTGATCAGTTAAAAACTTCAATTGAACTATTGCAATGATTACTGATGTAAAACTGCTTTATTCACAAAGAGTAGTTATCTCAAGCATATTTAAAATGCTTCAGATGTAAGATTTTTATTCTACTGAATCATACTGCGTATATATTTTGATGAAAAATAAAGAATTTCATATTAATCAAACCTCTTGTTGACGTGATCGTTCTTGTTTTCGTTTTTCTTCTTCATATTGAATTTTCACTTTTTTCCCTTGTGTTTTCGATAACAATTCCCATTTACCCTGATGATTAAATAAAATATTCCAAAATAGAATGACAAAAACAAATTTTCTTTTACTTTGCTTTCATCTTTCGAGTCAATGTAGATTGTAATTGTATCACTATATTGTCGATAACCCTAATATAATAATAGTATAATGAGGATTTATTTTCAATTAAATACCTGTAATGGAGTTCGAAATGGTTTTGTTTCAGATCCATCACCTTGCTCGTCATTTCCATATTTTTCTGATGTATAAATTGGAATTCCGTCTATATTTAACAAAATATTATAATAAATCAAATAAGGTTCATTTAATAATTACTCATCGAACAATCTTCCAACTTTTGTATTGTTGATTCTGTTGTAGAAACCATTTGAATAAGTCTAAAGAAAAGAAATGAAAAAAAAATAATGTGTTTTCCAATTATAAATCTTTCATTTTGTCAAAATTCAAAACAACATCACTATC